AAGGAACGAGGTCTCACATATACTCAAAATCATGTTTAAATAACTTAAATAGTTAAACAATATATGTTTGTAGCATGTATAGTGTAAGGCTATTTTACTCTATCTTATTATTTATTCAATCTTCATTATCATCTATGCTTTTTCTTCTCTAGCATTGGATTAGTAATGCTCAAATTCTTTCTTTGTTCCCTCCTACTCATTTCTTTTTCTTTTGTTCTTCAGGTTATATAACCATTTGGAATGAGTTAGCTCATAAATTCTTAGCCAAATATTTCTCACCTTCAAAAACTATCAAACTTAGGAATGATATCATATCTTTTGAAAAGTTTGAGGGAGAATCAATTTTATGAAAGTTGGGAGAGATTTAAGAAAATACTTAAGAAATGCCCTCACCATGCTTTATCTGATTGGTTAGGTTTTCAGACTTTTTATAATGGATTTGAAGGATCCCTTAAATCAATCATAGATGTTGTAGTTGGAAGATATTTAATTTCTAAGTCATTTGAGGAAGCATATGAGCTAATAGAGGAAATGACTATAAATAATTACTAGTGGCCTACTGATAGGGTGAGTCCTATTTAAGTAGCTAGAGTTTATAAATCAGATGCTTTATCAATTCTTACTGCTTAGATAACTACAATTTCTAAAATGTTAGATACTATAAGACTTAGAACTGGACAACATAGGTATAATAATTACCCTAATCGTATAGTTGATCCTAGATGTGCGAGAACCGTAGTGCAACACATTGAAGCGTCATAGCGTTACACCTCAAGTTTTGATCAAAATAATCATTTTAAGAATATGATGGCAGCATTGGAAGAGGTATTTATGCAATTGGAGATTCAATTACTTGATCAATCTATAGCCCTTAAAAATAGAAAATTAGATAGGGCATCTTGCTAGGTTGATCAGCAATAAAAAATTATAAGAGCAATGCAATAATATCCAGCTTAGGAGTGGGAGAGATTTAGGAGACCCTCATAAGGATAAAGATTAACCTCAAGAGGATAGTGGGAACCCTTAAAGGTGGAACCCCTTACTATACTACCTGAACCCATCAAAGAACTGAGAGACTAATTAGGAAGGTTGTTAAAGAGACCACCACCACTCTTCTTTTAGAGGTTGGTCAAATAGAATTTGGATAAACAATTATTTAGGTTCTTAGAAGTGTTTAAAAATTTAACCATCAACATACCCTTCTCTGAAGCCTTAGAATAGATTCCCACCTATGCCAAATTTATGAAGGATATTCTGAATAAGAAAAGGAAGTTATTAGGTCAAAATCGTAGCTTTAACTAAAAAGTGTAGTGTTATCATTAAAAAGAAACTTTTGAAAAACTAAAAGATTTTGGTTGATTCACCATTCCCATTATAATAAGAGATAAATTGTATGTGTTAGAGCCTGGTGTGATTTAGTATCTAGTATTAATCTTATGCCTGTATCCATCTTTAAAAGATTAGTCTTAAGGGAGGTTTAACCCACCACTATCACCCTTTAGCTTATTGATAGATCTTTTACTTATCCTATGGCGATAATAGATGATGTCCTTATTAAAGTTGATAAGTTTATTTTTCCTATTGACCATAACATGGAAAAAGATAAGGAGACCCCTCTTATCTTAGGGAGACCTTTCTTTGCTACTGGGAAGGTTATGATTGATATTTATAAAGAGAGTTGACTATGAGGGTTCAAGATCAAGAAGTGACCATTGATGTTCTTAAATCTAGGTATTTCCCTTATGAAAAAATAGAAATTGTTTTAGAGTTAATCTGGAAGACACTATAGTGGAGAGTTTTAAAGAAGATTTCTTATGGAAAATGTTGAGGAAGATTATAAGGGCTTAAAAGAATTTGTTCAACCTATTAGAGATAATACTCAAATATCCTGAAAGAAGACTTAACACATCTATGAAAGAAATTGTCAAAGAGGAGATACTTAAATGGCTTAATGTTGGAATTGTCTATCCTATTTTAGACAGTACTTGGGTGAGTTTCATTCATTATATTCTTAAGATGGTGGGATTAGCTTTAATAATTAATGAACACAATGAGCTTATTAATATTAAGACTATCACTGGTTGAAGAATTTGCATAGATTATAGGAAGTGAAACAAGGCCACTAGAAAATATCATTTTCCTTTACATTTCCTTTACGAGATGTTAGATAGATTGGCATAAAATTCATTCTACTATTTTTCTTGATGGTTAGTCTAGGTATCATTAAATTTCTATAGCACCTCAGGTTTAGGATAAGACTACATCTATAGTAACATTTAAACTTTAAAGAGTTATTTTGACCTATAATAATAATAAAATATTTTAGGAGTCAATATATGTCCAAATCACAAACCGTAGTTAATACATCTTAGATATTATTATGTTTTAGTTTCACCATTTTTTTTCATAATTTATGGGGATTTTAGGGCCGTTAGGTGTCCATTTTGTTAATCAATTTCACTAGAATATTTTATATATGCTTAGTTAATTTATGAATATTTTTTTATAACTTTTGAATTTTAAGATTTAAATATATAAAAGAAATTTATGTGAAAAATAAAATAATTTACTTATTTACCTTTCTACACTTAGCTTATTATATTATAATATAATACCTTAATCCACTAATACATAACTTTACAAAAAAAAAAAGCATTCCATTTTCATTTTGTCCAAACAGAGAACATGGGGAAAAAAAAAGAGAAAAATAGAGAAGAGAGAAAGATAAAACCAAAATTTGGAGGTAATAGAGCAATTTTCGTTCCTAGCCAACACGCGTCCCCTTCGCCGCCGACGTCCTCTCTCGACTGTGTCCTGTCTGCATTAGTCTCCTTCCCGTGTTGGGTCGGGTCAACCCGGCAACTCGTCAGGTCGGGTCCGGGTTCAAATATTCGAGCTGTTTACCTATCCGGGTCGGGTTAGGGTCGACCTGATTGAACTCGGGTCAGTTCTGGATTCGACCCGAACTCGACCCATGACCCGAAATCAACACCCCTAGTTATTTGCAATATAAGTGCTTTTGTTGTCAATGTTGTTCTAGGTTAAAAGCTAGATAAGAAACTTCATGTCATTTTTTATGCTAGTAAAACTTTAAATTATGCAGGGTATAATTAAGCTATTGTTAGAAAGAATTACTAGCCAATATTTTTGCTTTTGATATATTTAGAAATTATTTGACTCACATAAAAGTAATTGTTTATATTGATCATTCTGCCATTAAATACCTTATGACAAAGAAAGACACCAAACCTAGATCGATGAGGTGGATTCTTCTATTATAGGAATTTGATGTAGAAATTTTGGATAGGAAAGGAACTAAAAATCAATTTGTTGATTATCTGTCTAAATTTAAATGAAAAATATGTATCTAATGAGTTTTTTTCCTGATGAACAACAATTTTCTTTATATCTAAATAGATTACCATGGCATGTTGCTATTGTCAATTTTATTGTTAGTGGTGTGCTTCCATTTGAATTATCCTTTGTCTAAAAAATAAAATTCTTGCTTGATATCAAACATTATTTTTGAGATGAACCATATTTATTCAAAGTTTGTAATGATCAAATCATTAGGTGATGTATCCCTAAGGAAGAAGTATAACCTATAATTAGGGAAAGTCATTATTCTCATTATGGAGGGCATTTTGGACAATTTAGAACTTTTTCTAAGATACTCCAATCGGGGTTTTATTGGCCTACTTTATTTAAGAATATTAATGAATATATTAGAAAATGTGATGAATGTCAAAGAGTAGGCAATATTTCTAGAAGTAAAATGCCCTTGAACTATTTTTTAAAGTTTAAGATATTAAATGTTTGGGGATTAGATTTTATGGGACAATTTTTGCAATCATATGGATGCTAGTATATTCCTATTGGTGTTGATTGTATATAAAACTGGATTGAAGGAGTGCAACCCCAATAACTGATGCTTAATGTGTGCTTAAATTTTTAAAGAATTTTTTTTTTTAAGATTTGGGATGCCTAGAATTTTAATCAGTGATGGAGGAAGTCATTGATATAATAAGAGAGTAGAAACATTGTTAAGGATATATGGTATTCATCAATGGATTGCAATAATTTATCATCCCCAAACTAGTAGCCAAGCTAAAATAAGCAATAGGGAGATTAAAAGAATTTTGAAAAAAATTGTTAGTTCTTATAGCAAAGACTGGGCTATTAAAATAGATAATGTATTATTGGCTATAAAACTGCTTTTAAAACTTATATTGGAATGTCTTCATATAGGTTAGTCTTTGGAAAAACTTGCCACCTTCCTATAGAATTAGACTATTAGAGTATAAGGCATTCAGAGCTGTAAAAGAATTAAATTTCAATCTTAATGGAATAAAAAAAATGAGGCAGTTGAATGAATTGAAAGCATTTAGAAATGAGGCTTCTAATTTCTAAATTTATGAAGATAAAAAAAAAAAAGCATGGTCATAAGCTTCTTGAGAAAAAAATTACCTCTGGATATAATATTTTACCTTTTAATTCTAGATTAAAATTATTTTCAAAAAGCTAAAATACACGTGGTCAGGACCATTTAATGTTATAAAAATATTTTCTTATGGAGCTATTGAAATTTAGGATAAGAAAAGTTTACATATTTTTAAAGCTAATGGTCATAGACTAAAGTCTTATTTAGATGGGGACATAGAGTGTTTGAGAAATATCACTAGGTTGGTATAGTCTAGTTGAAGATTATAAACTTAGTGTTGAACTGTTGATAGGAGGCAACCCACTTGTGCTTTTTGTTTGAAGTTCTTTTCAATTATTTAGATTTTTTCTTAGGAGTGGTCCAATTTTTATTTTGAGATTTGGATTTTATGTTTAATTATATTTATTTACTATTAGTTTATATTCTATTATTTGCATTTAATCAAATTCCTTTAAAATTTAACT